CCATCTTTAACTTAAAAAATGAAATTTTGGAAATCTGCTTCTCAAATACATACGTAATCATAAATACGTAATCAAATACATACTTTTATCAAAAGTGCTTTATATAGAATTTGAGCTTTTAGTTTCTCTGATTTATGCTCGCCTTCTGATTTATAATTTTATCCAATTTATTATAATTTTCTTGCATTTGTTTAATTTTTTGTTCATTAATTATATTAATTATATAATATTAATTAATATATATAGCCATTTATAAATTATTTTAATTGTTTGAAGTTAATATTCATGAGAATCATGAAGATATCGTTTAAATCACAAAGTATCTTATTATAAATCTATATAGAAAAAGTATAGAGAAATATGGAAAAGTTTCAAGAAGAATGTTTTATCTTTGTAAAATACTTGTTTACGCAATATTTAATTTTTAAAATATAAACTTATTCAATCTTTGCAATGCACTATCACGGAATTCGTTTATCTATAACTAATTTGTAATTCTTTCTATTTATTAATGCTCTGCATTGCGTAGAGAAAAATACTATGTGACACATAATAATTGTATATATACGGCGTAAATAACTATCTATAATTATGATTATCTCGTGATATTTCATACATAAAAATTGTATAACAAAAAAGAAATGATGAAAGAATTCGTAAATGTTGATATGAAATGATCGATGTCATATGTTATCTGAGGCTACTTCTTCAATAGTAGCTCTACACATTGGGCATTCAATCAGTTGTTTTGAACACTTTTGGCAGAATCCTCTGTATAAGATAAATTATTATATATATTCTTGTAAAAAATTGTTGTTTCATGAAACTCGAATTTAAATACAATTGTATTACCTATGATTGCATGGCAATAACCTCACAGATGCCCTCTGATCGAAACATAATGTACAGGAATCTTCTCTAACACTGAGCCTTCGCAATTGATCCAGATATATGTGTCTAGGAAGTACAATCTTATCTTCTGGTTTCAATGTAGCATAATCGTTAAATTTCTGAAATTCTCGATCAGTAGGTGGGTATTTAAAAGGTACATGTCCAAAATTAAATAGGCATTGTTGGAATGACATGAAACTAGCCGCTGCAAAGAATCCAGACCTAAAAATAACCATATCATTAGAGGGTTTGTTTGGATATTCATGTAATAAAAAATCATTAAAAATATATATATATATATATACCTTACTGTTTTAAATACTTGAATACATGGTTTAAGTGGTATACCATTGATAGAGAATACTATTTCTAGTTTGTTTAAATCCAATAAGCAACCCAAGATGTCACCAGATTTCCAACATGGTCTGTCGTGAAATTTTTCACTTCGTGCATTATACCAAATCAGTCTGCGACAGCCATCGTAGGCCAAAGAAAATTCATCATCTCCTATACCATATCCCTCCTATTGAAACACGGCAATTTTTATGGAGCAATAATATTATATATACAATAGTTTTATAAATAAAAAATACTAAATATTCTCAAATATGGATATTTACATGATTTAAAAACGTGCTATCTTTTGTGGCCCATCCAATTTGCATAACTCCTGTAGTTATTATCAATGTTTCATAATACCATATTCCTGAATCTACTTGAAATGTACATCGTACACTTTCAAAGGAATATGCATCACATCGTGCCTAAAATATAATAATTTATTATTAATACAATATAATCTCCACTAGCAAGATATAGTACAACAGAATATCTACCTCCAAACCATTAGGTGATATTTTCAGGTACTCGCTTACATCTTTCGTATTTAACATTACATTAATACCAGTCACATCGACGGAGTCGTGGGAATATTTTCTACCTTCCATTAAGACTAAAAAAAAAATTGATAAAATACATCTTATTTTTATTTACTAAGGCCCGGTTGTACCAATGTTACTTCGATTTTAAGCGAGACTTAAAACTTTTTCTGTCTCTGTCTCTTTTTGGCTTTAAAACGAGACAGATAGAATTTCAAGTCTCGCTTAAAGTCAAAGTGATATTGGTGCAACAGGGCCTAAGTGGAGCAGATAAATGCGTTTAACAAAATTATATCATACTTACATAAGTTATCTAAACACCACTGTGCACAAAAACCAACTTGTCGACGAACGTAATGCATTTCTGTAATCCATTTTTCCAATTCTAATAACGGATTTTGTTTTTCTGCCATAAGACGTTTCTTAATTGTTACTTTATTTTCACCTGTTGTACATATAAACAATAATTAATCATAACAAAAGACAAAAGATTTATATTAATAAAATATTTTTTTTACTTGTCTGTGCAAACTTCTCTAGTGCTATCAAAGAATATAACATTACATAAGGCTCAACATCTTTTCGCTAAAAAAATAAAATTATATTAAAAATTATTGAATATTAATACGTCTAAACTTCAACATTAATTAAATAACATACTAGATTTGAAACTAGGTAATCTAAAGTAGCATCAGATAATATCGCAATACTACTAGGACCAGCAAGTTTCTCTGCAATACAACCAAGTACTACGCATATATTACGTTGCTGTGTAGTTGTAATTTGTATTTGTCCAAGTTTTTGAGGCAATTGAAACATGTGTGATAATCGTAGCACAGAATCCTACAAAACAAAATAAAAAGAGTTATCACTGCTGCTGCTTGTTTTTTTTTTTCAGTAAATTAAGATGCTGGTAATAATAAGAATTACAAATAAATTTCAACCTTTGAAGGTAAAGGGCAATCATCTAGTAATAATATTATAACCGAAGGACCCAATGGATTGTTCATTGGAATAACATTGACCATAGAACTAACTACTTGTATCCAACCATCTTCCTTGTCCGCAATAGCATTCAATTTTAACATTGCTGGCGGTGGTTCATGATCACTAAACATAAGCAATGCAAATAAGCATGTAGTCAGAAACCGATACGTTTCATACATCGTCAATTACTTACTTGTCCACCAGAGTATCAAGACTTCCAAGAGTCTCCAATACGAGTTTGTCAATGTGTGACGATGTAGGGAATTTAAAGGAAGAAGGTGCCGAATCGCTACACGAAACTATACTTATGTTTGGTTCCGGTATTATGGTATTCTGAGTTTCTGCATGATTGTTTCTGCCATATGTCTCAATGTCATATATCCCTGGAGTATCTTTACACAAACAATTGCCCATTCCCACTGGTTTATTAGAATTCCTTTAGCAAGTTATTGCCTATTGTTTAGGTTACATTTACAGAACAGTGATACATCAATCGTACTATCAAATCTTGCATCTGACCAGGCTGAAAGTAGAACTTGAATGATAAATGTCATTTAACAAAGTATTCATTTAAAAATCATGCCACTTACCAAAAAGATAATATCATGATAAGTCATATCCTTTTACCATGTGTTATAATGATAATATTATAAGCGTCTTTTATCTGCTTATCTGCATACATAACTCTAACATTACAATTTTATAACTAAATGCAAGTTAAACGCAACGTTATTTCTCGATTTAAGTCTTCTTAAAACTTGCCTCTTTCAACTGATAGACTATATTTAATCATAAATGCTCCCTTCGCTTTTTGATCTGTCACGATAGAAAATTAAACAGATTAGATAAAAAATGACATATTTTTTGTATACCAATATACATCACTACAGATGCTTTCTCGCAATTTTACGAAAAGATACAAATATGCATCTCGCGTGTCTCGATTTGAGAAATAATGGGATTGAGAAAATAAAATTTTTAGAATCACAAAACAACGCGTTTCAGCATCAGTCGAAAGTCAGGAAATCGAATTGAGAAACGTTGCCTTTGAGGTTATGTGCTTGTTATTCCACAAATAGCGATTTTACCATGTAGCACAAAAAGCGAGACATATACGCGTTTTATCGCGTTTGATAATACTCTATCGACTTCGCGTCACACAGTGACAAGTACTTTCGGCTCATACTTTGTAGATTTTACGAATGGCCCTCGTAATCTCGACGTGACACGTTATCGAATCGTACCGCAATTCTACCCATGCAGATTGTGCCGTATCGCATTTTGTTCGGTGCGAGACGCACGCGTACGGGATCACCGAAACCCCGAGAGATTCCGCGTGGATCGACAGCCTCTCAATGCCATTTCTCGTCGTAACAATTGCCGCTCGTCAACGTCGATAAATAAGTTGATCTCGCGCACTATGAGAAACAGCCGAATAGCCTTTTCTCATTCGAAGCAAATGGAAAAGACGAGTCGCTGACGGTACGTATAATATAATGTCAAGTATATGTGAAAGATTAAAATTTGCAAAAGCCGGTAAACTCGTGGATTTTAAATAAACTTTTGATTTTTTGCGAATAACAAAGTATTCAGAGCGATAAGATTTTATCGTATCATTGTTTTCATCTGCGGTTATAATATTCTTATAAACAAAAGTTTGATGCGTAGATATGTGTGACGTAAATAATAAATATTTATAGAATTCTACGTGAGGGACGCGCTCTACTGTGAAATGTTTCTCTCGGTTTTGCTAAACATACATATGACGTGTTCTCGTTCTCGTGCGGCAACTCGATGACATTTCACCGATTTCACATCTACGTGAAATATTCATCCGCCGCGACGCAAATGGTTAAGCGGTTTACAAAGTTCGCGCGGTTTCTTGCGTATTCGCTCGTTATCGCGCGCGATAATTCCGTTCGATTATCGAAGTCGCGAGTAGTCGCGGTCCGTTCTGGCACTGTTCAAGACGAACTTAACGGCGGAACGGAGCGAAGACGTCCTGTTTTTGAATATTGCGGTGGTTACGGCACGCAAAGTAAATCACTGGGGCCGTGCGGGACATTTCGAATCCGAGTCTCACGATCGTGCTCACCGTCGTCGTCGCGTCATCGCAGTACCCCTTTTTCTCTTTCCAGGATTCCCCGTAATACGTAACGTTATCACATGGGGAAGATGACCAGCGAGTGTCAACGATCAATAGCGATACGAAAATGACTTGGTGACTCATATGCTCAGAGTTTTGCGCGAACCATGGTGTCCGGGGACAACGAGAGGCTGCTACCTGAGCCTGAGAGCTACGCCAAGTGTTTTTACGATCTCTTCAAGAACATCGCCGAGGCGCAGAGGTGTGACGATAGTGTGACGTATAACCTCTCCCACGATTTGTTTACAATCCTGACGCCGTCGTAGATGACTTTGCCGCCAATCGGTTTTTTTTTGCCGCTCGATCACTCGACGTTTCCGTGAAATTGAGCAATTTGGTTCCCAAAAAAAAAAAATTTTTTTAATTGATACGGCGGCGTTAATTAAATTCATTCGCTTTGTAAACGTAGAACGTAACCTCAAATTTGTTATTAAAGAATAATTTGTTTCTCTATTCCTTTTTATTTCTTATCCGAATCTTTTTAATGACTTATTAATTTTGTTAAAAATATAGTAGGAATAGTTCTTATTCTACCTAAATAATAAAATTTTTAGTCACAGAATAATTTTCATTTAAATCTTTTTACAAATGGAATAATAAACAGAAATCTTTTTTTTGTGATACTTTGATTATTATAATTTAATTATATATTTGTTTATAATGAAATTTTATAACAATTTTATTATAATTAAAATAATATTGTGTATGCAGTACTATAAAAAATATATTTTATGCTCATTTTATGTATGTCAATTTAAATAAAAAACTTAATTAAATTTTCTAGGAATAAGGGAGAATGGAGGAAGTGTAAAAAAAATAAAACTCTTCGCAAACGAGATAAGAAAAAGGTATCGGAGATTAATAATTCTCTTGTCTCTTGTAATTTCTGAGATAAAACATGTGATATATTTTTTTATATTATAGATTGATTTAAATGGAGAATTAAATTATAATAATCCACCAGAGATAGAAACATCTTGTAATGCCTCAGCATTTGCTGTGTTTGCTAGCGTGAGAAATGCTATTTTAGAAAAGCATGCAAAATTGTCAACTGAAATTTATAGAGCATCCAATTGTAGCTCTCCACCACCAGACCTTAGTGATACTATAGATACAGAAAGCGATGATGAAGATAGAATATCAACTATACAAAATTTACCAAAGGTAAAAGCAACTTAAAAAATTCATGAATTTCTATATAATGTAATTTTGTTTTCATATCGTTGTGATATTCATTTGTTAAAAGTTTTTGTATACTGTAATTTTTATTTTTCTTTAATACATATAATTTGTAATATAATTTATCTATGATATACATATAGCTATAAATAATTTTTTAAATAAAGATTGTAGGTATTGGTTTAAGAAGTGTTTTTACATTAATGCGAGAGAGTAGAACAATCGATCCAATTTTATGTACAAAAGCACTGTCGGCTTTATTGGACGTTTTACAAGGGCAACTACCAGAAGGCCTCAAATCTGAACCAGATGATGTCATTGGTTTGTATTTTTAAATTATTGATTTTTTTAATTGACAAATTGACAAATTTTTAATAATTTACCTTTTTTTAGATCCATTATTTGATCTGTTACTGGATCTTGCAACTTCTCATGGTCCTGAATCAGCCGCTGCCAATGATGGCAGTCACTTGACAGCTGTTGCTTGTGCTTGTTTATTGAGTCTTGTAGTAGTCAGAGGAGATACTGGACGGCTATTGGCAGCAATAGCGGCTCTGCTTATGTCTCCTAGAGCGTTAGCAATACAAAATATTCAGGTATCTTACCATTGATATAATCATATTTGTTGCATAATAGTGATGTATATATTTTAATATTATATACTTTAATTTTTTTGCGTTTTAGATGCCATGTGTGTTAACGTCTCTGCAGAGAAGTGTTCACGCTGTGTTGTTAGGCAAACTCATGAGACCAGATTGGATTACATATGGCGTTCCCAAATGTTCCAAGATATATACCTCTATGCTTAAGTTACCAAATGAGATGAACAATATGGTATTGAATGAACGTAGTTTTGTAAGCGATGGAAAGTATTTATATCTGCATACATCTCGTGGTTTACTAAAAATTGGAAGTGGCCACAGTGGTACAATATGGGGACATATATACATACACAAAGCAGATTTTTATCCGACGGAAATAGGGTGGCTCGGTTATGCTAATGTTAGTTGCACGTAAATATTTATGAGTGTATTATTTAATAATGTGTGACTTATATGTAATAAAATTTTACTTTACAGAATTCATTATATTTTAAATGTGCACCTAGAAAACAGAGTGAATTATTAATTATTGATGCAGAAACGCTTATAGTAACAGGAATTGCTGTGTTAGAAGGAAAAGATTGGTCATCCTCTGTCATGTTCTCTGATGGCGAAAATTTAGGAATGATAACCGCTGGCAAAGATGTAACTAATGTAATTGTATATCTAAATATTGTTTTGTTATTTGATATATTTATTCAGTTTTTTTTTATCTTCTCTCAACAGGAAGGTTTCGTAGTACGTACGATAAATACACTGAGTAATCCTGTGACAGTTGCCTCTGAACTACCATTAAAATTGGCAAGAAAATGCGTAGATATATTTGGTTATGCAACATTTGATGAAGAACAAGCAATACATATTTTAAATCCGGGATGCGACGATGAAATTGCAATGGTTACAGCAGGAAAGGAATTTGGCTTACTTAAAACAGTGTCTGGTAAAGTAAGTATTATGTGAGAGCTATTTCAAGCTGTTATTATGATCGCTTAATATTTTATATATAAATATTTAACGCAATAACAATATAAATATTTGATTTTAAATTTAATATTTTTTGTAGTTATTATATAGTGGGAAAGGAACTTGCTTAGGCATGAAGAGCAATACCAGGCCTAATAGATGGTTAGAACTTACTTATGGTAAAGGTCCAAGGATTACACATTTTGCAGCAGGTCATGATGGTCAACATGTCGTTATGGTAATGGAAGATGGTTCTGTACTATTTGCTGGCACAGCTAGACGTGGGGAAGATGGAGATAGTAGTAAGTTTACTATAGATTACAGTAATATTGTAATTTATAATAACAAGACTGCTGTAACTATTTCTTTTATTTTAAGATAAAGCTCGTAGGCAACCAAAACCAGTAAAACCAAAGAAAATGGCAAAAGTGGAAGGTCAATTTATTGTGGATGTTGCTTGTAATAATGGATCTACTGCTTTAGTTACGAAAGATGGTTCTCTATTAATGTTTGGTAAAGATACGCTACATAGTGATCCTGTGACAGGGTTAGTTACCGATTTAAGGGACGTATGTATAATTCGCGTATCGTTAGGAAAGGCTCATGCCGCCGCGTTGACTAATAAAGGACATCTATATACATTCGGTATAAATAATAAGGGACAGTGTGGTCGTGATTCTACAACAGTGCATACCGTGAATAAAGAAATGTCAGTAGTTGCAATGGAAATGGGTACAGGGGAAGATGAATTGATAATAGCTGAAGAGGAGAATGTAGATCCTGCGGAAGATTGGGAAGAAACGAGAGGGATGTGTCCTCCAGGGCAACATCAATGGAGGCATCGCGTTTGTATGGTTTGCACGATATGCAGAGAATGTACCGGATATAGCATATCATGCCTGAGTAGTATACGTCCCGATCGGAATCCTGGTCAAGAATGTGGATGTGGCGAAGGAGACAGTGGATGTGCGGAATGTGGATGCTGTCGTACATGTGCAAGAAAGAGTTGCAGCAACGGCATATCAGGTTCCAACTTTCGAGAATATCTGCAGAGACGATTGGGTGAGATAAAGCAACGGCAAAGAAGCAAAGCAGGACCGAGTGCTGTTAAGTATGGAGTAAAAATTAAGAGCATGAATAATCAGCGTGCAGCTGGTCCTAGTATCGTGCAAAAGGGATTTCCGGAAAAAGTGGCATTGGGATTAGGAGTTAATCTCACAGTAGAGGAAGGTGTCGGTGGTAGCGATGTAGAGCGAGGGGATGCGGCAAGAATTGCCAGTATATCACCAGCCAGAGTTCCTATTCCTAGCGACAGTCCTGTGATCCAAGTGTCCTGTGGTTTGCATCATACGGTATTACTTTTGCAAAATGGAGAAGTGTATACATTCGGTAGTAACATATATGGTCAATTAGGTGTTGGAGATTTAGTAGCACACGCAGGACCGATTCAAGTTAAATTGCCAACTATTGCTACTCAAGTCGCTGCTGGTAGTAATCATACTGTTATACTCACATCAAAGGGCGAAGTTTACACATTTGGTGCATACCAAAAGGGACAACTCGGTATGAATTGGTGGAACGGTCAGAATGAATCTACAAACACTACTCAAGTGAATCGTCGTACTGATCGTTCTCAACCATGGCACAGCTTTCCAAATGTAGTACCAAATATTGGTCCTCGGTGGGGTAGACGAGCAACGTGGATTGGTGCCGCTGGAGATCAAACCTATGTTAAAATAGACGAAATAAATTCAATTAGTTTGACAAGAAGCACTGTTATGGCGAATAAAAATTGTATTATCTTGATACCCCATCAGAATGAGCACGCAAATTCTTTCAAGAGTCTCGTGATAAGCAAACGCGACGGAACGTGTAATAGTTACAGCGGTGTGGATCAAGTTGATTTCAGTAATTGCGCAGCATGTTTGGATCCTTTGTACAATGTTATTTGGACTTTCAATTCAGCGAATAATGAAATAAGCTTGTACAACATAATATCAACCGAAGCTAGAGCTATACCTGGTTTGGAAGCTTCTATACTCAATCCAGGTTTAGCGCTTCCGGTTGTTTCATCTTGTTTTCTAACGCGTTCTCAAGCCGCGATGCATTTATTAGCTTGCTTGGATACATTAACGCAAGCTCAAGATGAAAACTTATTGATAATTGAAGAAAGTGAATGTAATCAATCGATGCATAGCAAAGTTTATAGTCGTGAAGATTATGCTACTGTTAGCAGATTTGAAAGTCATGGAGGAGGATGGGGTTATTCAGCTCATTCGATCGAAGCAATTAGATTTATGCCTGACACGGACATTATATTGGGAGGCTATGGTTTGTTTGGTGGTCGAGGTGAATATACTGCGAAGATTAAACTATTTGATGTCGGGATTGATGGCGGAGACCAAGAGAACGATGGCGAACTTCTCGCAGAGACAGAAGAGATTCCGTACGAATGTGGTCCACGACAGAAATATTCGATATTATTTGACGAACCTATATCATTGCAAGCAAACAGATGGTACGTGGCATGGGCTAAAGTCGGTGGACCTTCCAGCGATTGCGGTTCTGGCGGACAAGGAATGGTCACAGCAGAAGATCAAGTCATGTTTTATTTTAAGTCTTCTAAAAGATCTAACAATGGCACTGATGTTAACGCCGGACAAATTCCACAATTATTATATCGTATTGTCACACCTGAAAATCAGACACCAAATAGGCAGAGAGACCAAATTGAACCTGTCTATGTTCTGAAGAGAGAATTCAGTAGGACTGTCACGAAGGAATGCTTTCAGTCCTTGATATCTCTCCTCCAATGGAGTTGGAACACATTGAAAGCAACACTGGCCGATATGGCCGTTCATATCGCATCGTCGACTCACGCGATGCTCGAAATGGAACGATTGGTGTACATAAGCAAAGCCAGTTTAAGACTGCTTAGAACATACACCAATGAAATCTATCCTAATTATGTCATTAAGAAGACTCCTCCTGAATCGGTGCGTTTGGCGGAATGTATAGGTGAAGTGCGAGCATTATTGCGTCAAATTTTATCTGATTCTTTACCGATTACTCTGAAAAGTAAAGGAAAGACACGATCTAACAAAAGTTCTAGTAATACTTTGGGGAATAAAATGACAAATAGCATATTAGACGAATGTCACAAAACGTTTGTAGCTTGTTATCATGCATTTTATCCTACCGCATATCTTAAATGGACTTCCTTATGTGAGTTGTTATCGGATATCGATAAAGAACAAGGTACGACCTCAAAAGATCGTCTTCTTTCGTCTGTACTGGCTTCTTTATGCAATTCGGCGATACGACTTAGATGTACGTTTCCAATCTTAAGCAACATCATGGACAATAGTGACAGCATAAAACGGCAGCTTAGCCCATCTGACAATGCAGGTTTACTTATGATGAATTCAACAGAAAGTCATCAGTATCCGATTTTAGTTGAGCAAATCAGTTACAAATCTCAAGTGGAAAGCTCTGGCAAGGAGATTTTGAATTGGTCGTTCCGTGAAGTACTCGATAGATTACTGGATCTGATATTAATACCAGTCAAAAGAAGTCTTTGTAGAGAAAAGACTCAGTCTCTGCCAGAATTGGTTCTTCATTGCTGTTATTTATTAGCGCGAGTTATCGCCGAATTGGCGGCACAATCGAGTGGAAATGAAGACGAATTGCAAGCAGCTTGCGGTAGACTCATGTATACAACACCTTCAAGATTTACGAGAACAAATCAGTCAAGATCATGGAATACGGGTAATGGTTCCCCAGATGCTATTTGCTTTTCCGTCGATAGGCCAGGCATTCTTATAGCCGGTGTTGGTATCTATGGAGGTGCGGGAGTATATGATTATGAATTGGAATTGTTAGATGATGTAAGTAATATATAAATATTCTATTATATTATTTTTGTAAATATTCTGTGATGTTAATTATAGTTATTTTATTATAATAGCAAAATAACACTGGTAACGATCCATCACATACTCAGCGTTGGAGTAGTTTAGATTTTACAAGAGGATCTTTCGGACCAGATGACTGCATTAATGATACAGTAGAATTGAAATTTGACAAACCAGTACTCATAAAAGAGAACATTAAGTATGCTATTAGATTACGAAATCGCTGAGGACGAACTAGTAATGGTGACGGTGGCCTAAGCATTGTCAAAGGAGCCGATGGCACAACGTTTACTTTTACTGCTTGTTCTCTAAGTTTTAATGGTGCGTTAAATCTATTAAATTAAAATAAATTAAATTATATTATATTAAAAAAATTTTATTTTACAATATTAGCTTATATTAATGTGCTATGTAATATTGCAGGTACAACACAAACTAGAGGTCAAATACCACATATTTTATACTATTCAAATCCGCAAGATACCGATGGGCAACACACGAATAAAGCTATGGCTGAAGTGCAAGCGAGAAAATGTACTCTTGCTATGACCGCAACGATCATTCAACGATCGAATGAAATTTTTTGACTCTCTTACCGCTAGTAATGGCACACATTAGTCCCTTAGCTACATCAGATCCTAGAGTAAGTAATTCTAAGACTTTTTTTAAATACGAACATCTTAGATGATAATAAGAGAAATATTTAACATAAATATGTTTTGCGTCTTTCAGAGCAGTGTACAAATTCTTACTCTAATACAAGAGATGTTGCCACACATTGCAGCTTTGAACTTACTGTCCACAATGGGAACTTCTCAAATATCCCAAGATAGTGAAACTCAATCACACTTTGCTCCTCCAGTTACTACTAGTCATCATTATACTTGGTTAGAAAGCGAACATCCTTATAAACCAGCGACAGTATCGTATTACAAAGTTACTTTTCCGGAAACAGTAAAGTGGCTAACCGTTGAATTTACTCCAGAATGTGGAACTTCACAACCAGAAGATTATTTACAACTTTATATACCACATATAATTCGCAACTCCTCCGTAGGGTAGATAAAATACTTCCACACTTTCATATAATATACAAGTATATTATATTCTGACATTTTATATTTATATTTAATTTTTATTCTTACAGAACAGCTCCAAATATGGGTGAAAATATCCCTCTGCATTGGCCAGTATTACATAAGTTGAGTAATGTTCAAAGTCAATGGCCGCAAAATGCTGTTGTGTTACCAGGTATGTTTAAATGCAGCATTAATTAAAAATATACTATGCTATATAATATAAAACGCTCAATAAATTGTTTGATGTTTAGGAAATGAAGTAATATTTTCCTTGGAAACTGCATCTGATTATATGAAAAATGAAAGCTCAATCACCTACGGTTTCAAATGCTTAGTCATTGGTTATGATTGGATAACGTCTGGTCATGGTTTAAAGAATTTAGAGATTGAATTATCTTTCCTCGGAGGAGCATGCGCTGCAAGTCTCATGAAGAAAAATTTATCATTACCTCCAGTTTCCTGTAAGTATAACATGATGGAATTTCTGTTCTATATTAATAAATCAATATAAATATGTAAAAATATAATTAAAACTTATATTCTTTAAAATGTTTTAATATATAATGTGTAATGTGTAATGTGCTTCTGATTAATCCAGTTTCCAAGACTTCTCGAAAAGACGACTGTTTACTATCTCAATTATATATAAAGAATATTATGTTTCTTTCAGTAAATTAATTTATGATACTACAATTTCCAGCGGAAGAAGTTGAAGAGGACTTGGAGTCGATGCAGGAAACGGCAAAGAGGATTTTCTCTGTACATTCAGCATTACTTGGACGAGGATTCGCACTTGCGTCGCCACCTACAATTTCGCAGGCTCTCGACGGCGTGCTTCCATACAGGTGAGTACCTAACATCAGTTTTGATTTTTCAAAAAAGGGAAACTGTGTAGCTGTAATAGAAGTTTGATAGAGTGTAATTCTTATCTCATGAAAAATTAATTCATATATTATTACATCTATTATATTTTCTATAGTAGAAAATTTCATGTCTTTTACTTACAATTGATATATCTGATGCATATAGTTTCTTTTTTTATCGTGGAAAGATTGTAGCGAAATGGTGTTTTATTCGTTTGTCTAGATATTATAAGTTGTCTGAAACAGTACTATGATAAATAGAACAAAAATCCGTGTAAATATCTGACGTCCATTATCCAACGTCATGGTGATACGTATAATCCCGATTATCACAGTGGCATATACGAAAAAATCGTGCATTTTAAATATAAACGTAAAACATAAACGTAAACATAAAATATTTATAGATATTTTCTGGTTAATTAGAATTTTATGTGACCTATTACATTTTATCGTTAGCTACACGATTGCTTTTATTTGCAATTATCTTAAACGCGGTTATTATAAATAAATAAATTTTTTTTCATAATAAACGGTATAAAAAAATCTTTTAAATAAAGGAATATTAATCTTCTTGGAAAACAATCTTAATACGATTAGCAAATATATTATTGATATCGTCTTTATTGTATTTTCGGTCGTTCAATGTGAAACAAATTATACAGTCGGCTGTCGTTATATCACAGTCTCACGATAATTATAATTACGTATGACGTTATAAACTGATTTTGTTGATCACAACGATATAATTACACACGTATACACGCATACATACCTGCGCATATAGTTTGCATGCGTTGCTGCGTATTAGACTCTGATCTTTCGATATTATTAGCGGGATGCTAATAAAACCTACCTTAACAGAGATCGAGTTATCGAGTATAAGAGGCACAAAAAGTTTTCCGAGACTCAATTTCTCTTCTTTCATGCGCTCGAGACGAAGCGTTGCTTACCTCCGTCTTCAAGTGCTTCGAGTGTTTGGGCCTTCTGTTCAATAAATCAATTTTAACCGTACAATATGTTATAGTTTCCGACAAGCTTTATTTTATTTCTTCTTTTGTAATTGGCGGAATGCCTTTTTTTATGATTATCAAAATATTAGATCAATATCGCGATATATGCCTCCTTTTAATTAAAGAGGAAAGGGACAGGAAAATGTTTATTTATTTTCATTCAATTATGATCTAGGAATACGTTCGCTCATAATCAAGTCCTTTAAAATGCTTTCATTACACGCATAGCTCAAACGCGAAGAATATTGCTATATGGTGGGATGTACAGTTTTGGTTTTACAAGATCACCTGTTTCGCTGAAATTTTTTTTCGAGCGTTACATTAACACAGCAAATTCTGTGAAACAATCGTAACGTTTTGATTACGTCTGTGACTTACTTAAAATTAAATATAAATTATAATAACAGTAACAACAGTTTTTCTTATATCGCAAAGAGAGATTCATAGAAAATCTTTGCATTTAAATAAATGCATAGATATTAACAAAATAATGTGTAACGAATTCGTAGTACAATACATTAAAAAATTAACTTACTGTCTTTTACGGTCTGACGGATTTTTTTCGAAAGCGTGTATGAAGCAGTGGCGGATTTATATTCTCAAGGGCTTGAAACTAACGTTTTTATCCAAGGAATTCTTTTAACAAAAATTAATGAAAAAAGATATATAAATTTTTATATTTAATAAAATTAATAGAAAGACACATATGTTAAAAGACGTATCTTAAAAAGAATAATCTTGTTTTAATTAATTATTATTTATAACGAACTAATAAACTTCAAAATTGAAAGAGAAATTGAAAACACTTGTCATAATTTATGAAATGATACATTAACTTATAAATTCGCCACTGATATGAGAAATGTGGGGTATTTTTTTGGCTTAATAAATTAATCTTGCCGGTTTATTTTCGCTCTTTAATCAGTTACATTGCTATGAATTTTCTATATAAAAACGATAGTTTGGAACGATTTTGATATGAAAGTTTAGTGAAGTGTATCATCTTCATTCATTCACTGTTTTTCTTGTGTTCGAGAGATCAAAATTTTTGTGAAATGGACACGAATTGTGTCACTTCAGGAATGGCACAGCTGTCCGAGCGAGTGATTATCCCATTTTTTGGTCCTTTCGTATCGTGTTTTTTCGCTCGAAACGTTCACTAATGTTTCGTCGATAACCACGCTATCGATCGATGAACTTAAAGCAATGCGAAAGGTCGGTCGCAATCGCGTATCTTACACAAGACAGCAAATTTAGTTTTTTTCTACACAAGTTATGCTCTCTCACTCTCTTTTTTGTTTCCTAAATCGCATCGCTTCGACGAGGGTTTCACTTTATTTTCTATGATACTGGCCCTCTTTTTTTCTCTTTTTTGAAAGTTTAATGATAAACTTAACTAACTACGGCGACTGATTATCCGAATTTGCGACATTCTAAAAAATTTTTTAATTTCTATGACTGCTTTCTCGAAGTAAAAGTCAGTCCGAGGAATGAGAAGAGCGCGCGGTTTGGATAATCAGCCACCGCATGATATGTGAATGGAAGCTTACGAATTGTGTTGTACTAGAAGAGACAATCAGTTACATAAATTAAAAATGGGACACGATTTGGGGCTGCGTACATTTTGCATTTTTATTACCTTAAGCGGCAATAGTTTACGCAGTCTATAACACGTACGCGATTAAGATGCGAGGAATTTTCCTTCCTCCACTGGAAGGATTATTCTCACATTTTATGAGCACGTTGGATCTAAGTTTTTACGGTCTTTACTGTTCTTCACTGGCGCCAATTGCGCGACGTCTTTCATAGCTTTCACAGCTTATACACTCTAAAGCGGCTCGACGTTTCCGCCCACTCGAGTTCCTCTTCAATGGGAGCGACGATCGTAGGCCTCCTCGTCGAGCCGCCTGGGGCGTCTCGTTACAACTCGGTCGTAAGCGGCTCGGCCTTCTCGACGATCACATGAAACTCCGTCTCTCGGTATAATCTGCCGTCTGGTACAACCATCGTTATCCTGCTGTCGACCGGCGTGCCGGACGTTGCGGCCTCTCTGCCGATCACGCCGTTCTTCTTCGACACCACGTCAGGTGCATTGGTCGGCACACTGATCCACTTCTTTCTGTTGTTTTGTCGGCGTCTTCGACAGCACCAGACGATCAAACACACGCATATTATCAGGGCGAGAATAGCACCCACGATGATTAGGATGAAGACGAGCGTGGAGCCACCGAGCGAGCAGTGACGTCCCTCGTAATCGACGAAGCTGATCGGCGTACCGTCTATTCCGCCGTCCAAACATAGGAAAGTTTCCGGGGTCTCGTTGATGGGCTCCTGGGGTTGCGATTGGGGCGGCACAAATAAATTTTCTCTCGCGTAGAACCGCGAATAGACGTTCGTGTAGTTGAGCACATAGTTCTTCCACACGGGTAACATCTGGCAGTCACATGGTAGCGAGATGATGAGATTATCAAGCTCTGGTCGGAAACTCGTGCGATCGAACATCAGCGAACCCTCTTCGAAGTTGCTTACGCTGTTGTTCTTGAAGATGAGGTCATGCGTCAACGACGCTGACGATGGCGGCGATCTAGTTTCGCGATCCGCGCGAATACCTAGAAACGCACCCA